CCCCTGGCAAGACATCTTACACCTACTTTGCACAGTGTGAAGTATTCTAGAACAATTGAAAGGTAGTGCTTTTTCTTTCAATGGATAATTATATTGTCACCAGATGCTGTGGTTGTCAAAGTAGAGGTTCCAAGAGCAGTTGTACAAACTCATGGAAAGAAAATCCAGTTACAGCAATTAAATGCAAAAATATAATTGCTGGCTTTTAAAGTACCTAAATTGGAGATACTTGAAAACAGAGAGAAACCTCAGGGGAAGTGTGCCCTGCCCATATAAAGCAGGCAGCATTTCCTAACTTGATTGACATTTTTTGTAGCTCCAAGCAGTTGTCTATATGTTCTTCACTGAATTGTGTGTATTTATTGATGACTTTAAAGAAGTCAATGAAAATTAAATTGAAGTAATTGTTGGTGTTCCTCATCTCTTAGCTCCATTTGAGCTGATGTTGTAGCAGAGCTAGTTTCTAAGCAAGATTTTGCAGAGGATAGGAATAAGTTTTTGTACCTTTGTTCTCTCTTTTCAAAGAAGTCTCTTTATAGATTTATGAGCATTTAGGGTAGAGTGCTGCTGAAAGCTCTGATATCACTTGATAAAGTTGGATATTTTATTATGCAGATGACAGCTGTTTGTTAGTCCCTCTTCTCATAAAGACTCTCTAACATCAATTGTCAGTAGCTCAATAGACACCAGAATAGTTCCTCATGTTTACTTTTACTCAGAAAAGTATAGTTGTGCCAGAATAGAGCTTGCTGAGAAACAGTTCAGCATAGCTACCCAACAGCTAGAAATCTAAACATAATCACACATCTGACCAATGTATCCATCCCTACAATGCTCATTGCTGTGCAACTCTAACAAGATCAGTTGAATTGCAAGGATCTGCTGTTGTGCTGGCCCTGTAATTACTCAAACCTGTCAATGTTATGGAGTTGGTAAAACTTTTTACTATATAAGAGCCATATGAATTTCTGTTCTGTGCACCAAGGACTTACAGTATGTTATGGTTATGACCATGAGGAATTCAGGACACACCTCAGTGTCTCTTTCACTGTCTGCCAGACAGCTTTCCTGGCAGCCAACAACCCTCACAAGTCAGTCTTACTGCTTCTCCTGACTTCAGTGATGTGTGGCCTTCACATGGCACATCCCTTCTCAGCTGCAGAGGGCCTTTGGGTAGGTTGGAGTCTCTCCTGTGTATTCAGCTGCTGTGCCATTCTCTCCAGAAAAGTTTCTTGTCCGTGTGCACCCCTAACGCCTCAGGCAGCTCTTCCTCCTTGTGTATTCAGATCTTTTTCTCAGTAGAGGATTGTAGTTTTTATTTTTCAGCCGTTCCTCTGAAGAGGATTCAGGAAGGTTAATACTTCAATCCTTTTGACTCATCTCCTGTGCAGCACTTCATCTGGCTATTTTTCCTAATTAAAATATGTAGTTCCATGCACACTTTGTCAGATGCCAGCTGTGATATTAAGCTGTCTTTGTCACAGCAAGAGGCAGGTCACTTCACAACCTTTGCTTAGTGATTTGGTTATATTTTTCCTTATGAATTTCCCAGGTAATCTGTATCAAGTCAGTGTGTTAAGAGATACACCTAATGTAATTATTTCATTAATATGTATGTTTGCTATTTATATTTTGCTTATTTCTGGTTTTTGGCTGAGAATAAGCTTAGCAATTAACGTGTTTGGGGTAGGTAGTTCTCAGCCCCTTCTCCTGAAGAAAACCGTGATAAGTGACAAATCACATATATTTGAAATTTGATTTTGGTAAACGTATTGCAGCCATGGTCAGGATTTCAATGTGTAGTCAAGTTCAGGGGCACAGTATAGCTGCCTGGTTTTATGTAGGGATTGAAAGTGAGCTGCAGTTCAACTCAATGAAGTGGACATGTTGATGACAATTCAGGCAAAATATCAAAATTTGGTAGTAAAAACAGTGTTGGCTCCTTCAGATTATATTTTTCATGATGTAAGTTTGGGACTTTTTATGAAGGATTCTTTCTCGTTCATTGCTGTCAGTCATGCTACAATTAGTAAGACAGCTTCTTGTGATCCACATGTGGCCAGGACTTTCTAGCCTTTGCTTTTTAATGTGGATTTTGGTTCTGCAGTCTTCTGGTGTCCTGTAAATAGATGGCTGCAAAGGGTTTTTCCTGGACCTAGCTGGAGTCACTTGGAGTCAACAATTCAGGAAGTCATTTGGTGGTAATATGATGGGAATTTCAGCTATTGTCATCTTTCAACAGCACTGCCCTCTTTCATGGTTGTGCATGTAGTGTTTGGAAATTGAAGACCATGAGCAGCGGTGATGGCCACCTGGGATTTCTGAAAAACTCCAGTTGTTCACAGGGCTTCAGTAGCTCACTAAGGATATGTTTGTCAGACTAGAGGCAGGAAGAAACCTTTTCTCCTGCTTGTCTGTCTGGCTTGGTAGGGCTATTATTTTTATCTGAATGGGTTTTTTTTAATGCTTGTGACAGACTGTTCTGTTGCTTGCAGGGAAGAATGTTATACACAGTGTATGTTGTGAAATGTGACATTAAACAAATGTGAAAGTCTGCTTTCTCCCATATTTCTCATTTTTCCTTTCATTTCTGTCCACTTGTGGCCAGCTACAGTATTAAGTTCTTGTTCTTTATCTCTGAGACATACTTTAGACTGTTGGGACAGTTTTGCTCAAGGAGTAGGCAGAGTCTAGTCTAATTATTCATGGAGGCTTAGAAGAGAGAGAGCTAAGACTAGTCAGGAGGAAAGTACAAAGGTGAAAACATGGTAGGCTTTTAACGAGTGAAGCCCAGGTGTTATTGTAGGTACTTTTGATTGATTTGTAATATATCTCGCAACGTGAAGCTTTCACTTTGGGAGAGATGAACAGACATTTTGAACGTTTTGGCATACCTTCTCAAGAGAATAGCTGTGTGATTGAAAAAGGGTTTTTGTCATGCTAGTATATTCATAACCATGAAAATTCAAGTAAGAATGAAAGACCTTGTACCAATTCTGGACCTCCCAGCAAGCTGACCTATTGCAACCCATAAGTTCTTAAGTTTACTGCAGTGAGAAATATTTTGTAGGCAAATAGTAGTTAAAGAAGCATCAGTGTCTTGTGATTTACAAGTGGGTTTTAGTGTGAATTTTAATTTAGATAGCATGCCATAAGTCTTTATCATTTATTAATAACTTTTCATGTACACGGCCCTTCACAGGCTGCAACTTCGGACATGTAACAGTTATGTTACTATTAACATAATTTTTTTCATATATGGCTTATATTCTCAAACCGCTACTTAGTGATACATTTTAGACGTGACCTAATAAAAAAAGAAAAATAACTGGTTTTATGTTGGTATGAAAGCCAGTTCAGCAATCTCTTCTACTGCAGCTTCATATGATGAGGTGGATGAAGGAAAAGACTTGGCTAAATGTCAATTAAGTGCAGATACCTAAAGCTCTAGTGTCCTTGTCTACTTATAAATTCAAGAAGTAGCTGAGCCTTCTGGTGGCACTTGGAATAAACTGGTCTTTAAGTAAGGAGTGAAGGAGTAAGAATAGAGAATGCTGCTTCTTCCACTGATCCCAGTCTTAATTCCCTCACAATGTGAGCTTGTCACCAGCACATTAAACTGACAGGGGAGTCTCTGCTGTACTGAGTGGTTTTGGGTTTTTTTCCTGCATTAAGAAGGAAAGCATTGGGCTATATTATGCAATTTAAGAGAGTCTGTGCATTAAATATCTGTATCCCACTTTTGAATAAGTGGGAACAATAATTCTATTCTTGAAGCTAGAATGCAACTATAATAATTTTTCTTTTAGCATATTAATTCAGTAAGGAGATTAATATAAGCTTCCAAACTTCTTAGTCAAAATCTTTATTCTCTCTGCAGAATGCAATACAATTACTACTTGGATGCTGATAGTAAATGAACTGTTTTATTGAATAGTTGTAATGAAATATTGGAGGCTGGTGTGTGATAGTTCTTATAAAGACTACATTCAAGGAAGACTTTGTAGAGGAGCAAAAGAGAGCAGAAGTCTTCTGTTTCAAACAGAGAAAGGAGTGGCCATTAGTGGAGGAGTGGCAGCCACTATTACATTCTGTTGATACTTCTGACTTCCAGTATGGTTTGGAATCAACTTCTTACCTTCAGGCACATAATTTATTAATACTCTGTTGCAAGCTTAGGAATTAGGGTTATTAGGAATGATTAATAATACTTTATTCAAGGATTGATATATATTTTGCAATACTGACTAGGATGAGCTTTTTTTTTCTTAATTTTCAGTTCTGATCTCAGTTTGCAGTAAAATTCTTTACACCTCAAATAATGACCAAACTAATTATCAGGGAAGCCAAGAACAGGTCAGAAGGACATCTCAGAATGTCATCTAGCCCAGCCTTCCCCTCAAAGCTGTGTGAGCTATGAGAACAGAACTATTAATTCTTAGCACTTCAAAAGAATATTTTGTTATCTTTTGAAAACTTTGTGTTATCTTTCTAAATGACAGGCTCTCTGCTATATATTTTTGCATAGAATACTGAGGTTGGACTTTAAGTGGAAGTTTGAGTAGAAGCTCCTTAGGAGTCTTCTTTAGAGACAGAATTTTTTTTTTATAGAGACTATCAATAGTGTCAAACTTTCCTTCAACTATGGAAGCCTTGCTGACAATCTGGTGTTACATTCCAAATTTTGCTTTGGGAAATGGTAGCACTAAATGTAGAAAATGTTTTGGTCAACCATTTGTTACTGGACTTTTTTGTTATTTGTCAAATGTTGGTACTAAAATTCTGACTTTGTAGAATGTAACAAGGCGTTTTGCTGTTCTTTTACTATGGTTCATTAGGAGTCCAGAAGAGAGTGCTCTAATTTTTCATGTTTAGGTCTTATGTTTATGTCTGTGGAATCCGTAATTTTTTCCCTGCACAACTGCTCAACAGTTTATTTCTTAGTTAATTTATTTGTGACATTAAATATTGTCTCTCTCTTTTTTTTTTCTTTTTTCCAGTGTGATAATGCAAAAGGACTCAAAGCCTTCTATGATGCAATAAAATATGGACCTAATCACCTGATGGTTTTTGGTGGTGTATGTGCAACAGTTACTTCTATCATTGCTGAATCTCTAAAGGGATGGAATTTGGTTCAGGTAAGGCATGGAATGGAATATATTCTAATGCTGACTGTTATGTGTCTCTGGATTTAAAAACAAAAAAAAATTGAAACTTAGGTTTAATGCTTTTAAAGCTTAGCATTTTGTGTAATTTTTATGTTTCACTTTTGAAGGCCAGTGAAATTATGTGTAAAGATTAGTTACTTGTATGTCGTGCTGGATTTTTAGGTTTGGAATTTCATTATACTAAAAAATGCTTGTGAGTTCGGGGTAGCAGTCATGTGTCTCAGTAGGTTAATTAAATAAAAAATAATGTATCTCCAAAAGCAACCTAGGTGAAATCAAATTCAGGCATGGTAGAGGGGCAAACCTAGGACTTTTGAGAAGTTAGAAAAAACAACTCATCAGGCCTTAAATTATGGTACTTCAGGGTATTTACTCAGTCTGTAGTCAGTCAGAATGCAGTAATTCCTATGCACTTTAAAAGTGCTGGAAGTGCATAAATTCTAAATAGTGACTGGGTTCATGTCTCAGTATTTAACTCACGAAGCACATTTATTCTCAGTTGTTCTTCTTTCTGACTTTCTCAAAGGTCAAGTTTGTGGAAAGGTTTCCTCTGCTGAGGAATCAGAATTTATTAATACTAATCTCTAAAATGCAGATGATAACAGCATGATTTTCTTCATTTATTCAGTCATCTGACTAATAAAAATTTTCAGATGGATGGTTGATCATATAGCCATTGAGTTCTGCTTTTCTGATGTGGAAATATCCTGACTTTCTGCTTTCATATTGCCCAAAGATACTCCTGTATATTTTTTTTTCTTAAAAACTCTAAATTATTCTATAGTGAAACAAAAAATATACAACAATTACCTGTGGTTACATTTACAAACAGACTCATCTTTTCCACCCGGGATACTCACTGAGAGTGGTGCAGCAAGAACAAATGAGGCATAATTAAGTTTGTGAAGAAGATGATGATCAGAGTACAAATGAGAAAATCTTAGGAGGATAATTAAAGTAGCTCGTTAACTGTGTTTGCAATACTTGTCAGATCGGATCTTTTTTCTTCTGCTTTGGGATTTTTTTCTGATGTAAAAAAAAAATCCTCTGTGGAAACCAAATAATAGTGTGTCTCTGGGGAGATTGGAGAAAATAACAAAGCTTGAAACTAGCCTTTAACACTCCCTCTTAAAATTGGTCTAGTTCATGACCTTTGATGTAGTATATGGCCTGAGTTCTGGCTTTTTGAATTTGTCACTTGGAATTTCTGTATGATGTAGGGTGTTTTAAACAGCTGGATTTCATTGTGCTAAAAATCTTTGCATTTGTAGTTAAGTTCTGCCTGATAAAATCTGGAAATCAATTTGCTCATGAAGTTGCTCAGTCTGAGGAAGGGTGATTAGAAAGCTTTCAAATTCCTGAATTTGTTAATTTATATGTTCAATTATAGAATGGTATGAAGTATTGCTACCACAGAGAATTTATTCCTCTCTGTTTAACCATTATGACTATGTCTTAAACATTATTTATTATATCAGTTCATCAAGCTTGAGCTTGGTATCCTGTGGGCACTAGATAAATCCTCATGTGTCAAAGCTGCTCTTTATGTCAGGTTTTTATACCTTGATTGGCTGAATGATGAAAAACCCAAAAATAACAGCATGGCTGGGAAGTGTGGCAAGGCTTAGTACATGCAGCAATGGCAATAATCTAAATATTGTTTGTGGAAGTGTTATATCATATAGTGACAGCAATATGTGTATCTGCAAATCGGCAGATGTAGCATGTATAAGATAGTGGGGAAACAGAGTACAAATCCACTCCTCAGGATCCACTGTCATAAGTGTCTCTGATTAAAAGCTTAACTTGAGTAGAAGAAGATAGAAATCTGTAGTTCTCAGAAGTGGAGCAATAATATTCAGCCTGATAAAATACAAGGCTGTCCTCCCTCAAAACTTGAAACCTCAAGGAATCACAGCAAACTCACATAAATTACTTTATGAAATCATGATGATGATGAAATCATTTCACGTTGCAGTTAGGAAGAGGGAAAACAGCATAGAGACAAAAACTAACCTGACATTGTATTATTGAATAGAGGATTTTCATTTGGATGTCTGACTCCAAAGCTTTGTCCCTGTCCTTGTGCCTGCAGTCATGAAAACAAAGCTCATAACCCTAGCAAGAACATTTGATTTGATTTGATTTACACAGGTGTCATGAGGCTCAGCAAAGTGATGACTCTCTTACACACAAGAGAAATACAGGATTATACTGATAGTCTTGAGAGAAATAGGGATGAAAGAAGAATAACAGAATATAAAAACTAAAAGAAGAAATTACTTTCCTGAGCAAATACAATATGAGGCTTGCTGACTGCAAAACCATTCTGAAAGCCTTTTAGCCCTGATTTCCATGATACTGGGTGATTGGTTTTCCTCTGTTTGGATTAATTTTTCTTTTCTGCCTCTTCTCCATTCTCAAAATAAAAAGTTGTCAAAACCAAACAAAGAAATAAAAGGCCAAGAGTATAAATGTGCTGGAAATTTTCATATTGCATTTTCTACTCAGGCAGTTGCAGAAATGATGAGGGAGGGGAAGGATATAGATTCTTACAAGGCAGCTTCAGTCTCTCCTTACTGTGTGCTTTTGATAATGATAGTGTCTTTTTTACTTAACTGGTTAAATTAGGTCACTGATGGCCTGCAACAATGTGAAATAGGGAAGATTATAGTGGTTGAGGAAAGACTCAGTCTGAAGGTGACATGTCTTATTTCCATGTCATATCAAAAAATAGGTACTTTTCCTTCTCCATCTTGACAAATTCTGATTTAGTTATGATCAGCAGCAGAAAGGGAATTTGTGTTCTCAATTAGCTGCCTTCAACTGCTGGCTGATTTAATTATCTCTTACTGTAATAAAATTAATTATTTTTAATGGAGCATTTTTCATCTGTGAAAGGAGCAAGTTGTTTTAGTCTGCAAAGACTTATGTCACCCTGAAGAACTTTCACTGAGATATGCTAGGTGAAACAACTTGGAAAATGTTTTTTGAACAGATTTTTAGTAGGACAAACGCAGGCACCCATTCCTTAGCCTCTCAAATTAAAAGGCTCTCTGTGGGTAGTCTTTGTGTGCCAGCCGTCCTTTGTTGAGTGACAGTCTGAATATGGGCTGGAGGCTGCATGTGCATCTTTGATCTCCAGGCTGTGGAGTGGAACCAGTTTGAACCTTTGGTGTTTTAGCTTAAAAGTGCCCATAATATTCTGTGCCTTTGAGAGTGGGCCTTGAAGGCATGAAGGCATAATACTGGGAAGTTGGTGTTCTGTAGGGGAATACATCAATGTCAAATTCTTCCATATTATTCTTATCCCCATTCTCTTTCAATGTGCATTCAAGGCAATTCAAGAGTGAAGAAGAATCATGAATATTATCTCTTAATATCTTGCAAAAGACAAATTATGTGTTTTTATTCTGTACATTGAAGCATTCCTGCTAGTATCCAGTTAGCTTAAAATGGAGGAGATAGCTATTCAGTCTTTCTCTTCTATTTCAGTATAGCCATCAACTGTTATCTCCATGTGTATTTCTTACAGTGGCAAAGGCATCTATTTTATATCGATTGCTGTTTCTCCTGTTTTTCATTGTTATCTCTCACTTTTCCTAATTGTTTTAACATAAACATTTAATCAGCATGATGATTTTGACCACACTGGTCATCTCTCTTAATCTGTGGACCTCCTTCTCAATTTTTGGAGATTTGTCTTTTTCTTCCATTGTGTCACTGACGTTCTCTTACAGCCTTCTTCCTTTAAAATTTCATTTAACTCTGGAAATAAGCTTCTGCCAGAAACGAGGTATAAATGTTTGTGCTTCCTCAGAATATCTTCTGTTTCTACATATTTTATGTAATCTAGTCATAACTGCTGGCTTCTAGGCAAGTAACTCCTTCAGGCAATACAGTGATTAGATCGTAATGACATTCAAAACTGAGGAACCTTATTTTGGATTCAGCATCTCATGTTGGAAAGTTTTCTAACAAAATTATAGGCACCTTAATCATGATGTATTACTGCTCACTCTTGGGCATATTAATATAGGATGAGTTCATGTGTTAGAAAGGGGTGTTGGAAAGGGAAAATTCCTGGTTCTCAGCTCATGTGACTGGATATTCAACAGCCTACCCTGAGATTTGTTTTATTGTCGCAGAGATCTGTAGATATTCAAGATCCCATCTCTGAATTACTGAAAAGGCTGCTGCTGTTCAAGAAAATCAGTGATGTTTCTAGCTTTTGTTTTCCTCATGAAGCAAGGCTGATGTGATTACACTGTCAGTTCCTCCTAGTAATTTCTGACCAGTGGCCAATTACAACCCAGTTTTAACAAGGGATTTCCCAAAGACTGTTAGCTTAATTTCTGTGAAAATGAGATTCTATGGCCAGGGATCCATATGAATGAAGAAGAGGCTGCAACATGAGCACAGAGAGCTTAGGGCCAGCTGTGCCGTGTTGTCCTCCATGTCCAGCTGCTGTTTATGGAAAGGCGATTGACTGGATTGAGAAGATTGTTTAAAAAATAGCAGAAAACATATTGAGAAAACACAAAGGAAGGGTGAAACCCAGAAGAGTGTGAAGTAGGAGCTGAGGTATGTTTGCGTGTTTGCAGAAACCTAGGGCAAATATATCTATAAGAAGCCAGGCTTTATTAGCTGTCTGTTACTCCTTAAAATTACTGTTAACATAGAATTTCACAGCTATGTTCAGGTTAAAATAATGTGGTTCAACATGAAAGTACTGCAAGTCATCACAGAGATTTCTATATAGGCCACTGAATAAAATTTATTCTTGTTAATATCTGAATTTTCTAAATCCTTATACTTGTTACCTGGAGCCCCAGCATGAACATATAAGCATTTGATAAAAGAATGTGGTGTTTTCTTTTCTTTTTAGCCTTCTTCATCATGTTTATTCCAGTACAGTGAGTTTGTGCTACTTTTGCCTTCACTGCACAATTTTCATGTATTATTAGTTT